CAGATTTGAACTCAGGTCCTCCCGACTCCAGGGCAAGTGCTCTATCCATCGTGCCACCCTACCTGCCCCTCCAGGCAATTCTTTAAGACTGTAAGTTACAGAAGAGACAGTGGCCCGCATCAACCAAGCGTATTTTATTTCCACACTTCAGAGGTACAAGCAGAAAAACAGGCTGGTCATCCTGGCCGGCCCTGTGGGGAAAAAGCGACTCTCTACAAAGGGGATGGAAGGAGGGGAAGAATCACTGGTGAGGTGAGGCATTTGCACTTTTCATCACAAGGCTGCTAAATGACATCATAATCTGTTCCTGGAGAGAAAAAACCCAACCTGATAGAGACCCCAAGCACTATTCTTTCAAGGACCCCACATCACCAAACAGTACAGCCTCCACGAAGGTACATTCAAACGGAGTTGGGAAAGAACCGAGTCATTAGAGACAGGGAGAGGAAGAATACCCTTTAAACACATTTGAGAAGGCCCCTCCCTCCTCACAAACCATCACTTAGTGGGACAGTACACCTAGGCCTGGAGTCAACGTCCAGAGAACTCAGCTGGTGAGCATCGTGTGATTTCTGGGTGCCGGCCGGCATCTTTTAAATAGCAATCCGTCACTTGGCACGGTACCTGGCACACAGTAGGCGCCTAATAAAGGCTTGCTTGCTCTGCAATGCCAAACCACGCAGGGTCAGAGTATACACTTCCACCCGGCTCAGTGCTTATGACTACCAACACGGTCCTTATTTGCTGTAGGATTTTACTTAGTACACTTCCTCTCTGGGCAATGATAGGGACATCTGTCACCCTACTGGATATATTCTTAGTAGGGTAGAAAGCTAAAAACTGTTATCTTTTTGCATGAGTCTAGAATCGGACTTATTTGGAGCTACTTCTAAAGTATAATAGCTAACATTTATAGAGCACTTTAAGAATTGCAAAGCACTTCACAAACTATCTTCTCATTTGATCCTCACAACATCCTTGGTAGGTAGGTGGTGTTATCATTATCCCCATTTTACAAATGAGGAAACTGAGGCAAACCGAGGTTATATGACTTGCCTGTGGTCACAGCGCTAGTAATGGTTTGAGGTTGAACTTGAACTCAGGTCCTCCCAACTCTAGGTCCACACTCTATCCACTGGGCCATCTTGGTGTATCAACGATACTAAGGCTGAAATATCACTATAATTCTAGGGTCAACTCTAGAGGTGTTCTCTAGGCTAGCTTCATAAAGTTTTACATTTAAGCAGAGGCTTTCTGCCCCTGGTTCTTTTGAGAGTACCTTAAGGTTTAAAAGAGATTAGTTGAGTAAGGTCCTAGATTATCAAGGAAAGAGTGACCTCACAGTGACTGACACTTATAGAAGGAGCCTCATATACACCTCCTATCACTTGACCCTCACAATCAACCCACCTTTGAGGTAGGTACAGGTTCTTTTCTTACTAGGTCCAGAGAAATTAAAGTGATTTGTAGTCATGGTCCAATTAATCAATTAGTAATTCAATCAATCAATCAACATTTATAAAGCACCTACTAAGTTCCAGGCACTGTGCTAAGTGCAGCTTTCCAAGCCTGCTCCCCTCTACTAGTCTCTCTCCAAGGGGTATACAGAGAAGATCCATCAATGATGGATCCTCCACAGCCCCATGAGGGAAGAATGCCCATCACTTGAAATAGGGGTTGGCAGACAGCCACCTCTGAAAAGTCTGCAGAGGTATTATTACCCCATTAGCGATAATGGCTATTGATCCAGCCATCCTGGAAGACACATGAGTTAAAAACAAAAAAGCAAATTTAAGATATCATGTAAAGGAGCCTAATTACCAACTGTACTGGGGAGGTGATTTCTTTAAAATTAAGGAACTCTCCAAATCCCTTATGAAATATAAGGGGTTAACACAGGGAAGGTTTTAATTGTCACTCATAGAGAGACTCCTTTTCTTTCCCAAAGCAGTTGCAAGTACCAGTAGCCTACTTAGAAATATTAACTTCTTAGCAGGCTGTTACAAAACCAAAGTACAAAAATGGCATTGTCTAGGACATGAGAAATAGCAAGGTACTCTCAAAAAAAAACATCAATTCAACAGGAACAGCTCAGGAAAAAGACATATCAATTCATATCGTTCTGAAACATTTCATCATTCTCATTCGAGACACCCACATACAACCACTATTGCTTTAAGTACCTAAAAACTGGGGGCAAGAAAACTGAATTATGCCTCTGAGGCAGAATGACACCCAACCATGGCAGTCAGTGAGAGCAGCCAGTACTGCCTGGGGGCTCAGAGAGAAAGGCTGGGTAACTTGCCCACAATAACAGCTACCATTTGCACACTGCTTAGCATGTCAAGTAATGTGCTGCCCAGTTTTGACAATTCTGTCATTCAGATCTTTGTAACAACCCTGGGAGGTCAGTGCCATTATTATCCCCATTTTACAGATGAGGAAACTGAGGCAAGAGGTTAACTTGCCCAGGCAATCTTGCCATTTCCATGTTTGCTTTGGTTCTGATCTATGCTTCCCTTCCCATCTAGAAAGCATGCTGACAAGTCCCCCCTCTTTGCTAAATGTAAGGTTACGTGAACACTATATGCGTCTAAGGCAGAATTTGAACTCGGCACTTCCTGACTCTAGGCCTGGCTCTCTATCCATTGAACCATCAAGCTGCCACTTACCTCTTAATGAGGTGAGATTTGAACCCTGGTCCTAAGGCCCTTTCTAGGCTGCTGCTGAATCTACTATATACCATGTGAATACTTTTCATAAAAACTCTTCCCTTAATCCGAGCCCAAATCCTATGATTTGATTAATGAACTCTATTATATGGGTAACAAATCCATCCTTTTTTCCAAGCTTATTTAAAGAGAAGTTCATTTGTAGGAGAAATTTAAGTTTTTGCGTAAAGCTGATTCTACATGTAGTGTATGCCATGAAATTCAAATATCAGCTGCTTATCAACTGCTCTTTGTGTTCCACTGTTGGTCATCCTACAGAATGGCCAGATGTGATATAAAATGCAAAGACGATCAGCCCCAATGTACATCTGGAGGTCACTGATTAGTATGTCTAAAGGCACCATGATACTGTAAAAAGGTTCCGGACAGCAGAACAACCCTTCACCCTGTCACAAATTTCATTTTCTCCAGCAGGGTAGATACAATAAAATTTTCAGTCCCACTCAGCTCCTGTATTATCACATTTCTGCATTACCTTGGCCATGGGCCATTCAAACACTCCCTACCACCTGGGCGCATTGCGGCCTCAGTGCCATTATGTGTGACATCACCGTGTTGCTAAGGAAATGAGTGCGAGGTCATAAGCTTTCCTGCAAAACTGCAAATGAGGAAGAGTTAGAAGGTTCGAAAAGACAGGGCAGTCAAGACAAATCCATTTAAGATTAACGCCTGTTAAAATGCTCCAGCTAATATACTGCAAAAGAAGAAACAGGTTTGAATGAAAGGTTAAAAACCATCAATGGTACCAATGTTATGCTGAAATACAGGCTAGATAGAGCATCCACCCCCAACTGTAACATAATTCTAGCAGGGAGCTCCTTCCCTCATAATACTCCTTTTAAACGTCTAAACATAAAGGGTTTCAGCATGGCCTACTTTAATGATCCAGTTCAATTTACACAGGTGTGACTGAAATCATAATACATGGGGTCGTCCAATTAAGGAGGGTTTATCCTGTATACTTGGTTTATTCGGCCATCCAGTTTTAAACTGGTGTATTTTTAATACCTCTGTTATATAACTGTATACCTTTGTTATCTATTTGTCAAGGATACCTGAAGAGAGCCTGTCAGATACTGGGATAACTGAGGCAACCAAGTCATCCATCACATCATGCCATGCCCAGGTTCCTTTGGTCCCATTCCACACCTGCTCCCTCCCCCATCCTTGAACATGCTGACACGTTCCCCCTCTGATAAATGTAAGGTGACTGAAAAAATGCTGCAATATAGGCAGGCATCTGTACACCAGACAGGCTGCGACATTTCAAGATCAGCATTCCCCCCTCATCAGTAGGAGGGGACACTCCAGCCTTTTCTTTATCAAAGGGAGAAAAAAAGAGCCCAGACCTATCTCACGAAACAAATAACAAACATTTCCCCCTTTAAAGCAACCCCTCCCTCCCTCCACCCAGTCTAGCCTCTCTGCAATATGACAAATGCAGAATCTTCTGGAATGACTTGGTAGTGCCTCCCACGATCGCTTTGTTTGCAAGATCAGATCAGAGAGAAGAATTTTTTTAAACTTATAGGGATTTCAATAGATGTACGCCTGCATTTAAAAAAGAAACAGCAAATGTCACAAATCGAACCACTTCGCTTGATACATAACCTTTATTTTAAGGGGAAATACTGCATGTTTCAATTGACAAGGCTGAGGGGGGAAAAAAACGGAGATACGCTCGAGACAATGAAAAGAAAATGAGAAAATGGTAAAATGCCCCCCGGCCCCCACCCCTTCTCCCCGAAGGCAGGAAGGAGGGAGGGGAAGGAGGTGGGGGCATTTTTAAAGAAGAAACTGAGCAAATAAGAGCCACGCACGGCGATCTTGGAATGATTGAGATTTTTTTAAACAACTGACCCAGGGGTTTTTCTGCCCCCCACCCCGACCCCCCCATCCTGAATTCCTCCCGTGGAGGGGGGGAGGGAGTGGTGGAGTGAGCAGAAAGGAGAAAGCAGGCGACTGGCGAGTGAATGGGAGAGGCGCCGCCCAGACAGACAGAGAAAGAGGAACCTCCGAGAGCGACCGCATGGACGAGGGCCCCCCCCAACCCCGGCCCCACCCCACCCACTCTCAACGCCCCCCACACTGCAGGGAGGGCACAAAGGGCGACCCCCCCCCCAATCTGCCAGCCCAGCAGGGTAAGGGGTGAGGATGGAGGCCTCACATCCGCCACCCACCCTATCGCGAGACGAGGACCAGGGCCCTGTCGCGACATGGCTCTCGGCCCGCCCTAGCACTGTCGCGACAGCGGGAGGGGGCACTCACGTTCTTCATGGCCGCGGCCATGTCGTCGTAGCGCTCCGCCTGCTCGGCCAGCCGGGCTTTCTGCACCAGTTGTTCGCGGTCCACCATCTTCACGGGGCGGCTCGGGCCGGCTCCTGCGGGGCTGCGGGGCTGCGGGGCTGCGGTCGGCGGCGGGGAGGGCGCGCGCGGCGAAGGCGGCGGCGGCTCGAGCCCGGGCGGCGGGCCGACCAATCACGTCCGCGGGACAGCGGCGGCGGCAGAGGCTGCTCGGGCTCTGGCTCCTGCTGCTGCTGCCGCGGAGGCTCGTGCTGCAAAGGAGGAACCCGGCGCGAGGCGGCTGCGGCTGCTGCGCGTGCCGCGGAAGAACAACCCCCTCCGGCCACGCCCACGGGCCTGACGTCAGCTCAAGGCCCCGCCCCGCGCCCCCTTACCCCCTCCCTCTTCCTCGGCCCTCTCCTCGTCCTCCCCCCGTCACCGCCTCGTCGCAAGGACTCCTGGGACGTGTAGTTCTTTTCACGGAGAGCGAGTGCTCCTGACAACTTCTGGGCTGGCGCAAGGAAAACTACACTTCCCAGGAGGCTTTGCGCGGAAATCCCTCGGTCTTTGAGGGAGGGGAGAGGCCGGGTAGAGTGGGGCTTTTGGCAGCAGGGCACTTACAAGAAGGAGGGAGGGACTTGGGGGAGAGAGCCTGAGCCACAGGGGGCGGGGGTGGGGGGGCCACCTTGGGCGCGCCCCACTCCCCGGGGTTGTACTCGCAGCCGTGGAGGAGTGGGGGAGGGAGGGAGGAGTGGGGGAGGGAGGGCGCGGCGTGCCATGCATCACCCAGACGGAATGCTGATTCACTGCCTCCCGAGGCTCCGCCCCTCTCCCTCTCTGCGTAGCCCTGCCCTTCCCCCTCCCTGCCCGGCCCCCGCCCGGGTCTGCGCGCCTCCCTCCCTTCCTCCTCCTCCCTCTCTCCTCCCAAGCCCGTTCTCTAGGGACGTTGTCCCCCTTGTTGAATGGGGAGGTGGGGGGTGGGCGCGGTTTTCTTGGGAGAGCCGCGTCACTCTCCTGCTCAGTAAACTCCAGTGGCTCCCTGCTACCCCTGGGATCAAATCCATGCTTCTCTGCTGCCCTGTAAAGCCCTCCACGACCTGGGGCCAAGCTATCCCCAACTGACCCCTTACTCACGTTCCCCTCCCTCTCCCCCCCTCAACCCCCGGCCCTTCGAGGCTCAGCCTAAGAACCGCCCACGTCTGGTCTTGTATCCTCTAGAAGAGTGGGTGGAAGGCCCCTGGGGGCAGCCACTGAGGTCCCCAGTGAGACCCTGGACGGCCCAGGGCCCTCCGTGCCTTTGTCCTGCCCGCCGCACCCCGTGCTTGGGATGCTCCCCAGCCTCATCCCGGTGTCCTGGACTCCCTGGCGTCCCTCTTCAGCACCCAGCTCGTTACCCCTTTCCACCTGACTCCTCTGAGATTAAATCCCCTTTAACCTGGCACGGACAACGAGAGACTGAGGACAGAGGAGATCTCTCTGTCTCTCTCTATGGATCTGTACAGACATATCTATAGAGATACAATCTGCAGCTGTAGATAGCTTTACATATCTATAGATAGATATGCAATCTGTAGGCAGAGATAGCTGGATTGTACATTGTTTGCAAGATAGAGATATAACTAGGTATCTAGAGATGTCTTGACAGATACAGATATGTATCTAGATAGATACAAGGTAGATATCTGTATCTAGATAGATATGGACAGATCGATCTCAATAGAGACATAGGTATAGCTCAGTCAATATGGACCAGTTATTAGATGGATGGATCGATCTTTGCACGGTTGCCTGCTGTCTCCTCCCTTAGAATGTGAGCTCCTGTGTTTTGGCCATTCTTTGTATTCTTAGTGCTTAGCACAGGGCCTGGTACATAGTAATGCTTAACATATTTTTACTCATTCGTTGCTTGTGGTTCCTAATAAATGCTATATCTGAATTGGATTGAAATGGCCTGAAATGAATGAAATGCTAAAGTCCATCCCTGCTTCCCAAGGAAGCTCAGCATGGACATTCTAACACTTTCCCCCATCAAAGACAGTTTGGTTTCAGCTTGGTTCTTGGTGATACAATGCACAGAGTCACACAATGCCATGGAGTCACAAAGACCTGGGTGCAAGTCCTGAGTCTAACACAGGCTATGTCACCCTGGGCAAGTCACTTAATCTCTAAGAGCCGAAGACAGCTCTCTAAATTTAGAGATTGCACAGAAGGCTCTGGCTTTCATTGATGGAGAGTTCCCTTACTGTAGATTCCAATGAAATCGCAAGTCCAGTGCCTGTCTTCTGAAATGAATCAACATTCCTCTCCATCATGGGTCATTATGGTATTTGGAAAGAGCCCTGGACATGGAGTCTGGAGATGGCTGCTCTTGTTCAGTAACTGTCACTGTGTGACCTGGGGTGAGTCACTTCCCCTTTGGGGGCCTGGCTTTCTCCCACTACAAAATAAAGGTCACTTCCAGTTGGAACATTCGATAGGATGGTGATCTCATGCCCAGGAAGAGCATCCAGCTAAGGACCTGGCTCTTAATAGGAAGGAAGGAGGGGCTGGGGCAACAGGGCCGAAGCGGGCCGCTCCTCAGTTCTTTCTACTTTGGGATAAATGGGAAGTGAACAGTGATTCGTCAACAGAAATGAAACTACTTGAGGCGAAAAGGAAACAGACATGACCAACTGCCCTACATTGTGACTTTCCTAAGAGATCAGTAAAAACAGTGTGCGTGGCACTTAAGACCTCAGTATTGGAATCCTCATGTAGTCCCCCAGGCTTTATGGGCCTGAGAATTCAGATAAGGGCACTCCACACACACACACACACACACACACACACACACACACACATACACACTCACAGAGATACATACAGACACACACACACACACACACACAGGGGGAGAGAGAGAGAGAGAGAGAGAGAGAGAGAGAGAGAGAGAGAGAGAGAGAGAGAGAGAGAGAGAGAGAGAGAGAGAGAGAGTCCTGAAGGACTGAGAGGCCTGTTTTTAAGACCTCGGCTCAAAGAACAATATAACACACATTTACTAAGTGTCTATCATGCACGGGCCACAGAAACAAAAAACAATCAATTCCTGTCCTTACCTAACTTGCATTTCCCTGGAAGAATACATCATAGAGTCATAGGTTTAGAACTGAAAGGAACCTTTTTCTAGAGGAAGAAATATAGATAAGTAAATGCACTGGGGTTTAGAGTTCCCTGGGTGGTTTTTTTTTTTAAACTACAAACCCCTTCTGTTCTGTGTAGATGACTAAGGGTGGAGGTCTGATGGCAAAGGAGCATCCAGAGAACGGCTAAGCTGGGTAAAAAGTCATTATTTCTCCCACCTCCCCAGCCAGGTGAAGTCCACAAACATTAATGAACCACCTACTGTGTGCCAAGCACTATGCTAAGTGATGAGAATATTAAAAAAACATTTTTAAGGCAAAAACCAGTCCCTGCTCTCAGCTCGTACTTATAGCAACACCAAGCATATTCAAAGAAATACACAGAAATTCCAAGCAGGCCTTCTCGGCCTTCAAAGTACACACCGTTGGAGGGGCAGCTGGGTGGCCAGTGGATAGAGCACCAGCCCTAGATTCAAGAGGATCTGGGTTCAAATATGGCCTCAGACACATAATACTTACTAGCTGTGTGACCCTGGGCAAGTCACTTAACCCCCATTGCCTAGCCAAAAACAAACCCCCAAAAAAGTATATGCCCTTGGTTGGCCATCTTGTGTTTGTTTATTTCTTTAATCTGGCTGTTCAAAGGTTTCTGGGCCTGGCCACCATGTTTACATTGAGCGACTGTGTAAAGTTTCATACATTTCACCTGGAAACAATATTCTCATGTCCCTCCTCGCCCTTCCACTTCCAGGAGCCAACCATTACTAAGGGAGGTTCCTGGTTTTCCTTATCCAGAGAGGCTAGCATACATACATTTTCTGGGGAGGAGAAAGTCCTACCAAATTATAAGCTATTTGAGGACAGGGACCGTACCTCACTCATCTTTCTAACCCCTTTCAGGGTTAAAAATAGAATGTGGCACCCCTGCTCAAGAAGCTTCAGGGGGTCCCCACTGTGTTTAAGAGGAGAGTAAAATTCCCTCTTTGTCCCTATCTGTGACAGTCTGGGTCCAGCCTATCCTTCCAAGCTGATTACACTTGAGTCGCGCCATTTGGGGTTTTTTTTGGCAAAGATTCTGGAGTGGTTTGCTATTTCCTTCTCCAGCTCATCTGACAGATAAGGAAACTGAGGCAAACAGGGTGAAGTGATTTGACCAGGGTCACACAGCTAGTAGGTATCTGAGGCTGGATTTGAACAGTCTTCCTGACTCCAGGGCTGGTGCTCTATTCACTGAACCACCCAGCTGCCCTTGATTATACTTTACACCCCCTCATGTGCTACATGTTAGCCAAACTGGCCAATTTGCTATTCCCAAATTACAACATCCCATCTCCTGCTCTGTTCCCAAGCAACAAGGGTTTCACAGAATATTCACAGAGACTCCCAGCCTGCTTATGGCTAACCATAATGGGGCCAGGGGCAGCCAGGTGATAAAGAGGATAGAGCTCTGGGCCTGGAGTCAAGAAGCCAAAAATTCAAATCCTTCCTCAGATACTAGTTGTACGACCCTGGTCAAATCACTTAACCTTATGCCTCATTTTCCTTGTCTGCCAGATGATGATGATGATGACGGTAATGATGGTGATGATGATAGGGCCACCTACAGGGTTGTTTTGAGAATCAAATGACAACATATTAAAGCACTTTTCAGACCCTTAAAATGCCCTATAAGTACCAGCTGTTATTATTATTGTTGTAATTATGTGTATGTGACTCAGCAGTGAAAGGGTTTGGTATTTTAGTATCTTATATCAAATCTTCAGTGGTCCCTTGGTCCCTCCCTCACCCTTTGACTACAGGACTGGCATGGGTAGCTGTGTCAGTTAAAAACTGACTCCCGTATGGCAAATAAGTCTGTAACTAGGCTTCTGGTGAGGAGCTAGGAGGATGGGAGGTGCTCTTCCCCCGCCCCCAAGCCTTTGACCACTCCCACATGGAGCATGGCCCCAACTAGGCCAGCTTCTACCTGAACCCCTGACCCTGATTGCCTTTCCTGCTTTGGATTTCCTTTCCTAAGTACATGATCAAACATCATTTTCTCTCTCTCTTTCTCTCTCTCTGGCACATTTTTTAAAAATTTTAAACAAATACAAAATGAGAAAACAAAAAAGAAAACATTGCCATGTATACAGAAGACCATAAGAGATTAAATATAACACAATAAATTTCTATTTCAAGAAAACCTATATAATAAATACTGCACGTTGTTTTCAAAGCTGCCCAGC